ACTGTTAATCATGTGTCATCTCAGAACACATACACATTTGGGGAAATAAATTATTTAGTGTAAATTGGGTGTTAAGAGATTTTTCTGATTTGTTTTGACTTTGGGGGAGGGGTTGCCAATAAATAAGAGTAATATCTAATAAATCCATCACATATACCAAATACCTATTTAATAAATTAATTTATAATGGATTTTAATGCTTTTCATGAAAGTTTTCTTTATGCTGGTGCATACCTTCTGTATGCCAATCATTGTCTTTACAATAAAGTGAGTTTGGTTTTTTCTTTTGACTTTGATCGTCATTTGCCCAAAGCTCTCCCACAAGGATATCCAGTTGCCTCATTTGTGCCATCTGCAGAAACCTGAGGGCCTGGTGCCACACTAGCAGGCTTCTTTTTCTAAGGATTGCTACCACAAACACCCAATTGGAGGTGGTATATTTCAAGATTCATTTCTCTAAAAAAAAAAAAAAAAAAAAAAAAGTGTGAAAGTTTCACTTAGTTGTAAATGACTGTATGTTTCCTTTAGTGTTTATAGTTTAACACACACACACACACCCCAAAGTGAATGTTTATAGACATTTCATGGCATTCGGAGAAAGTTTTGACTGCAAGTTAAAATATTTGATTACTTAAACAACAAATTTAGAAGTAGATGCTTGGCTTGGCACCCTTGTGTGACTGGCACACTAAGCCTTCAAGGCATCTATGCACAGGAGCTCATAACTCTGCAGATCACTGACACAAGCCATAACTTGGGCTTCACCAGGTACAGCAACCCATACATGCCAAAACAAAGGGCCACCCCAGTAAAGGATGCTTGCTGGGGTCTGCTTCCTGTTACCACCATTGCTTGCTTCCAGTGTGTGTGATGGAATCCTTTGAGTCTCCTGCTTCTGCCAGTCCGGTGGAACAATAATACCTGAAGTAGATGGGGGGAGGGAGATGTCCAGAAGATTACCCAGCAAGGGCTATCCAAGCAAAGGGGGAGCAGTATATGATTTGTGGGGAAATTTGTGCTGTCTATCTCCTGAGTGGCAAGTGACTATCAGTTTGTCTGAACCAATCACTAGAGCAGGTTGGGAGTGGCTGAGAGTCCCAGCAGGGCAGTGAGCCACACATTTGTCTTCACTGTCTAGGAACTCCACCCAGGTACCCTCCTCCAAGGCCCTCCTTGAGACTTACTATGTGCTAATTTAGAACCTTCCTCTTGTGTTAAGAGTCCCTGGGGCCTGAGATGTCCCCTTGACCTTTGTTAATCTTACCTTTGGGTTGTGGGAAGTCTGGGTCCTAGTGCTCTACCTCTTGCTTCACAGTCCAAGGGAGCTTTGTGGATTAACTCCTAATTGTTGTTCCACACCCATGTGCTCCACGTGTCAGAGCAGCACTTGGATGCCTGTCATTGGTCCCAGAGTCCAAATATCCCTTAAGGAAACAGGCTGTGTCAGAAAAGCGCTGTCCAGCCAAGTTGGCTATAGAGCACCAGGCCTCACTGGAAGTGCCACGCCATAGATCCTGGGGTAGAGCTTAGATCCATAACTGTATACAGCGGCTCTTAAGTAGGTATCTGCTCATAGCCCATATCTATAAGACCAATGGTCTTTCCTTTGTAAAAGTGGTCATCTGATGCCAGATTCACTGAAATGGCTTACACGGTGCCTGCCCAATTATACAGGCCCTGCTTGCCAACATACTGTTAGAAATAATGACTCAAAACAACTTTTAGCAACAGTCCTTCCACATAACCCACATCCACTGATCAGAAGGTAGAAGAAATAATAAGTTAATCGCCCCCAACTCAGCAAAAAGTTTTAAGTGACAATATACCCAGATTGCTGAATCAGTTCTCAGCAATAGTCTGAAAAGGCCCAAATTTGTCACCTTTCTTGATTTGAAGGCTCAGCTAATGAGCCCCTGATGCTATAAAATCTGCTCTATAGATGCAGGTTCTTTTATAAGGAGCAAGCCTTACCTAACCATAAGCTTTGGGCACTTAAGTTCGGACTCTGGAACAAAGGAACAGGCTCCTGCCATTGCTTTCTGAGATGTTTTCCTGCTTCTTCCTCCCACCCAGAAATATTCTGCAAGCCCTGGACCAAGCTGCATCTTCTCTTCCTCTTTATCTCATCCAGTGTGGTGACTTTAAGCTCTACTACCTTACAGAAGACTTTCAGAATTGTATTTCCCTCCAGTCATCAGCATTCCAAGTCAAAATTCTAGAATCTTCTACCCTTTTGGAACATGCACTCCAAGGGCAAGCTCCCCTTGTCCTTGGCGAGATTCCAAATCTTGCATGAATTCTTTTTTGAACATGTGTGTATGTGTCTATGTCTGTCTGTCTGTCTGTCTCTCTCTCTCTCTCTCTCTCTGTGTGTGTGTGTGTGTGTGTGTGTGTGTGTGTGTGTGTGTTTCCTGCACTGTATATATGTTCCTGGTTCCCATGGAGGCCAGAAGAGATATCGAATGCCCTGGAACTGGAGTTACACTTGTGAACTACCATGTGTGTGCTGGGAATCAAACCTGGGTGCTCTTAACCACTGAACCAACTAGTAAGTCATGAATTCAAAACCAGCCTGGGCTACACAGTGAGCTACTGTCTTAAGACCCTCCATTCAATCAAGGTTTCTCTGTGAGAAATGAGTCTTTTTTTTAATCAAAGGTGGCTAGCCCAACAAGAGCCAATATTCCCTAAATTACTTCCACCTTGTAAAAACCTTCATTAAAATCTTTTCATCTCCCCTGCCCTTTAAAACTCTTTCCTACATTTCTTTCTCACCACTTTCCAAATTAGCCAGTACAGAGTAGACTGTGAGGTTAGTCTCGGGCAACGAGGAAGCCAAGCTCTCCCTTGCATTAAGGATAAAAGATGGAGTCCATCTTGGCCATCTGTGCTGCTTGCCAACCCTGTCCGGATTGAAGCACACCTTTTTTGTGATAAGAAACAGCCTTGCCTGGTTCTTTCTGTTTGTTTCAAAGTGCACAATTGGAAGCATACTCTTTCCCAACACCACACTAACTTGTCTAGTTTACCCTTTACCTCATCTCCCATGTCCCACAATGCATTTTAGTACAATCTGCATTTTTTAATTTGCTTTTGGCCTCTTAACCTAGTTTTGGGTATGTGCTAAGTCTTGATAATGCTTGTTAACCAAGTAAAAACATTGCATATGTAAACACTGTTGCTAACATTTCTGTTCCTCCTTTCTCTTACCTCTAAGTCCCAGGAGTCACCGGGAAGAGACCAGGCATGAAACATTAGGTTCTCTGCCTCAACGTGACTCCACTCCACAGAGATGGGGTGTGGAAGGAGGTGCAGGGTCGGTGGCTCAAGAAAACCTCCTTGTTGGAACTATATATGTTCTGCCTCTCCTACACCTGAATTCACTTAATGCAAGCACATCGTGAAAATGGAAATAGTGACTTGTCTGGACACTGAATGGATAAGACTAATAGAGAACTGAGTTCAGAAGGGGCCAGCAGGATGCTCTGATGAAAAGCTCAAGTAGGGACTTCTCTGACACCAGGTCCCTCTCCCAAGAGCCTGTGGCTTCCAGAACACCAAATCTGAGTCCATGCTCCATAATTGTGTTGCTCCAGTGTTTTTTCCCTCACAACCATGAGTTGTGGCTCATCCAGTCAAGCATCTTAGTTTAGCACTATCTCCTTCAGTCTTGCTGCCTGACAAGACTGGGTGACTATAAGTGTGTGTTTGGCTTCAACTTTTCAGCAGTGTTTTGTTTGTTTGTTTGTTCATTTATTATGACACCAATATTATAAGTGTTTGATTTCAACTTTTCAGCAGTGTTTTGTTTGTTTGTTTTTTCATTTATTATGAGACCAATGTTGTAACAGTAAAGGAGTCTCTAGGTAATCTGCTCCCATGCATACATTAAGTGAGGACCCAGCCTCCTCCTGGACAAAGGTGACACCCAACACATCCTCAGGAGAGTCCCAGGACACCAGCTTAAGCACAAGATCCCAAACTACAAGTGTCATGAAAGTAAAGCAGTTCCCCAAGATGTCACAGTGACTTGGCGTTACCCATCTGTCTTGGACTCCAGCACTCCTCCTGCAAGAACATCTTCCTGGAGTTTCTAGTTCACACTGGAAACATGGGCCCCTTCCTTTTTGCGGGGCTCCTGGTTCTGGAAGCCACCACTCTGTGTTGCGCTGCTGCTACTTTCTTGAGTGAAGAATGACCATCTTGGTGATAACTTAAGAGAGGCCAGCTCACACCTGAGCTCACCTGGTGCCCTGTCCTCCAGTCCTGTGCCAGCCACACATTTGCAAATTCTTCAGGGTGTGAGGAAGAAACAAGCCACCAGTTTGCCTTTACTACAGCTAAAAGGAAAAGGCATTCTGATCCCCTAAAATTGTCTCCTGCCCTTCTTTTTCTCCCATATTGTGAAGTTACATTCTTCCTTGTCCAAATTAACCACCACTCATTTGGGTGGTGATAGCTCTGGCTGTGATGTAAGGGAAGGGACTCCATACCATCCCTTACACACACACACACACACACACATACACACACACACAGAGAGAGAGAGAGAGAGAGAAAGAGAGAGAGAGATAAACATGGTTGCTCTGAGGATTCCTCTAAAGTCTGCCTTGTAACACAGCTTGCCAGGCAATTATTTATTTATATATATATATATATATATATATATATATATATATATATATATGTAATTTTTTTCTTTCAGAGTCAAACATCACAACACAGTGCCCACACATTACAAAAAAAAAAAAAAAAACCTCTCTATTTCTAGCTTAAAAGACAGGAGAGATCACAGAGTGATCCTCATCTGAGCCCAGTTCTCCCTGCAGCTTACCTGGCCCAGGTTAGTGGAGAACTAACTAGACTTGGAGGAGACAACTGGGTATCATCCCTGTCTGTGCCCAGCCTTTAGTTTTTCCATGACCAACAAAGCCTCCGTGCAAACAGCATCAGCCTTCTGCTCTATGTGCCAGCATCTCTCATGCTACCTGGGAGGTCCCTTACTGCCCCAGCTTACTGTCCCCTGGCCCAGACTGACGCCGTTGCTTCGCCAGACTCTTGTCCAGTTCCCGGAGCTGCTTCAGGAAGCCCCGGTTGGGCAGGACACAACGGTTCTTAGCTACTTGTTGAATGGCGTCCACCAAGGTCATGTTCTTGTGAATCATCAGGTAAGCCAGGACCAGGGTTGCTGACCGGCTTCGGCCCATGGCACAGTGAACCAGGATCTTATCTGCAGGTGAAGGGGGAAAGCCAACGCTAAACGGGCTGAAGTCCCTTAACCCACATTCATTCTCCCTGTTGCCTACAGTTTAGGTTGGGCCACAGCTCCCCATCTGCAAAAAGGGGACTGAGTCGCTCAGTTTCTTGCTTAGGGTTGTTGGGAAAACAGTTTGTGTACAACAGACCTGTTCACTGACTGGCTTGTGATAGGATTGGTGAATGTTACAACCATTGCTCGGGAAGAGGAGAGGGCACTAAGCCTCCTGGAAGCTTTTGCCTGTATCAATGTTTATTCAGTCATATTTAGCAGGGTTCAAATGTCAAAGCATTCCCCAGGAGACTGACTGAGAAACCCCTGCCCACAAGGCTCCTTGTCTCTCCAGAGCAACAGGTGCCCCCGTGGCTTGTATGTGCTTCCAGAGAAGAATCTGCCCTGCAGAGTTGATCCCCTCCCCATCCCCAAATCTTGATTCTTAGCTCCCAAACCCACAAGCTTTAGATTCTCCTCCGTCTCAACCTTCCCTCCCTCCCTCCACTCTCCCTCCCTTCTCTTCTTCTGTGGATGCCTCCCAGACTTTCAAAGACCTTTCTCTGTCTTGCTTATTTTGTTTAACAGTTTACATCGGAGATTTCTATATATCAGTATATGAACAGTTCTCCTTTTTTCCTAATCCCATCCCTACCTGAGTCACCATGCTGGGAATAAAAACAAAGGACCTTACATGTGCTACATGAGCAGGTCCTCAAGCTACATCCCCAGAAAGAATCTTCAAAGCATATGCCTTCTTTCTTTTTTGATATTAGGGATCAAATACAGGGCCTTGTATGTGCCCAGCACCCACTATTCCACTGAGCTGGACCCTTGGCCCTTTTTTTTTTTTTTTTTTTTTTTTTTTTTTTGGACAGGGTTTCCCTGTGTAACCCAGGATGGTTTCAAACTCAACATCCTCCTGTCTCAGTCCCTCAAGAGCCAGGGTTAAGCAATTTAAATAGAATGCATTCCACAGGAGACCCTGGGATGACCCTGGAATGACCATCCTGTCTCTGGAATGGCAGTGCTGGGCAAAGATGTGCATGTCATTTATATGACACTGCTGCCTTTGACTTTGAATATGCTAGAGCTCCACAGCCCCCAAGGGCCTTTGTGAGGTCTGGACTCAGGACACATGGGAGCCTGCTGGCTTGCAGATATGAGACCCAGACTCCTTCTGCCAAGTGGGTGACAAATGACAGAGCCTCAAAAGCCTTAATTTCCTTAACTGTCAAGTGGAGGGGCAGAATCAGTTCAGACATGAATAAAATCCTTTCAGGAAAAATTCACATGGCCAAGCAAGCTTTTAAATAGTGAAAGCAGTTTTGTCTTTTGTTTGGTTGGTTTTGATATTTTGCTTTTTTTCCCAATTTTGCAAGACAGGGTTTCTCTGTGTAGCTCTGTAGACCAGGCTGGCCTCAAACTCATAGAGATTTGCTTGCCTCTGCCTCTTGAGTGCTGGAATTGAAAGTTCACACCACCACCACCCATCTGGTTTTGATTTTTTGAGACAGGATTTGTCTGTGTAGTCCTGACTGTCCTGGAATTGGATCATAGACCAGGCTGGTCTTAAACTCACATAGATCAGCCTGCCCTCTGTCCCCAGTGCTGGGATTAAAGATGTGTGCCACCACCACCACCCAGCTGAACAGTGAAAGTAGCTTTCCCATGTCCTGTGCCAGTGGCACAGGACAAACATCCCAACAACTAGAAATAACTAAAACCCATCTCCACACTAGTTCCAGAGGGTTTTTTGTCATGTGGTTTGCTTTTGTTTTAGGTGGGTCTTATGTATCCCAGGCTGGCCTTGAGTCCACCATGTACCTCAGGATATTTTCAACCTTCTGGTCCTCCTGCCCCCACCCCACCCCCAGGGCTCTGAGATTACAGGCATGCACCATCATCCTGCTAATAGTACCTGTATACAATTGACTCTTTCAACTGTGTTAACATCATCTTTGTGATATTCACAAAGGCAATGGAGCCTTAGCATGACGGATGTCACAGGCAATAGCTATGCCAATAGTTGCTGCTGTGTCTACCACTGCACACTGGGGAGGGGATAGGAATTTCCTCTAGAATATCCTTAATGCAAAGAGTAAAAATGAAGTTTTATCAAATTTCAGGCCTGGGGTACACCTCTTGATGTTCTGTGAGACAAGACATATACACAAAGCATGCTGAATGCATACAACAAGCATTGGCTTGCTCAAGGAAAAGCACATGAGGGATATGGAGGAGACAGGAGCTAGGTCTCCTGCAGCACATTTGTCTTTGAAGGAAAACCAGCACGCTCCAGTGGGCATTCAAACCTAAATGTTTGGTAGAACACTTCTTAGAAGTGAACGAGCAAGGCCCAGTCACGGTAGCACATGCTTGTGGTGGCCCAGCACTCAGAAGGCAGAAACAGGGGACTACTATGAATTTGAGGACAGCTTGATTATCCAGGCCACCTAGGGCTACCTATGTGGAAATTTTAAAAAAGTAAACAAAGGCAGTCTGTCATTTCAAAAAAAATGTGGTATATTTGTTGTCAGGGATAAAAACACAAGCACTGAGGCAGGAGCTAGAGTTCTAAACCTCTCTCTATACTGTGATGCTGAGTTTCCTAATACTTCAAGAGTCTCCCATTTGAGTGGGTGTTGTAGGGTGTGGCATACCTCTAATTTCAGCATGCAGGAGGCAGAGGGCAGAAGGATTATTGCAAGTTCAGGGCCAACCTGGGCTACATAGTGAGCTCCAGGTCAGCTAAACTACATAGTGGCCCTTTCTCAATAGCCATCCACACCAAGAACAATAAAAAACATGGGGCTGGGTGAGATGAGCAAACGTGGCTTTCAAAGATCGATAACATACAGCAGAAGGCCCATGTAATTTAATGAACCACGATTTTCAAATGCCAACTACAGTACTTGTGACCTGTAAAATTACAGAATTATGGCGAAGGAGTCATCAAAGTGCAAGGCTCACCAGTGGGTTTGATTCTGTTTCTAAGACAGGGTTTCATGTACCCAGGCTGGCCTTGTACTCCCTATATAGCTGAGAGTAGCCTTGAACTTCTGATCCTCTTGCTTCCTTCCACATTCAGTAGTGGGATTACAATTATGAGCTGTGATGCTCAAATTACAGGGTGCCAAAGATCCCCAATCCATACGGTTTATTATTTTTAATGAGTACTTGAAATTTTTCAGTTCTTATTTTCAATGGAGTAAGCTTTTATTATTGCCTATACACAAAAAATCTTTGAAGTCTTCACTAAATTTTTTGACTTCACTGATTTTTAAGAGTATAAAAATCTTCTGAAACCAAAAACTATGAGAACCAGTGGTCCTGATGCTGTTCAGGCCAATACCACCCACATCCACAGCTATGATGCACAAGTGGCCAAGACCTGCATGTCTCCACTTGGTGGCGCTCTAGAGCACACCCACTGACCAGGTCTCATTCCAGCTTTGACTTAATCCTTATTATCTTATCCTTGTCCCTGCTTTGCAGATGGAGAACAGGTTCAGAGAGTGAGATGTCTGGCCAGATGTCACCTACAAAGCTGATGCCACAAGCAGCAGCTTAATGCAAAGTGTGTTTGAGGCCCTCACTGTGCCACTGTGCTCTGAGGTGTGGCCTTCTGTTCTCCCTCAGTGGTGACTGTTTCCTATGGCTGTGGGATTCTTGACTGAGGTTCAACTGGTTGCAGCTGCATAAGCACAGTGCTGTCTGTCTTCCTGACCCTCACCCTGGAGAGATAAAACAGGAATTTGCCTGTGGACAGTTTTTCTGCATGGGCATAGCTCTCTGCCCTTTTTTTATCCCTCTCTTCCCCATGGAACTGGGCCCAGGACAACGACAAAGGCCGGAAGCCAAGACGACATAAGAAGTGCAAACACAGTAGACATCTCAATCCTCCTATTCTCACTCCACGTGGGGTGAGAAGACCTGGGCCCCATGACCAGTTGCAAGAACAACAAGGGTCCTGGCACAGGCACAGAAGTGTCATCCAGTTCATCGCCATTAGTGCCTTTCTCTGTCTGCTCAGTCAGCAAGGAGGGTGGGAAACAGCCCCCTTTGTTGCTGTGTTGTTTAGGGGGCACTGGTCCTCATTCTCTTCCAGCATGAACATCCAAGCCAATGAACATCTACCTCTGGCAGAGTGTTCCATCTACCCAATGGAGAGTTCCAGATAGAGGCTGCCTGGCTCCCAGCCAATTCTGCTGATAACTAATATGTTCCTTCCTCTCCTGTCATAACTAAATACATGCAACAGATGAAAGCTACAGCCCGTATGAGGAGCCTGAAGTCTGTAGAGAGAAGACAGAGAGGAAGAAGACAGGAGAGGAAGATGGAGAGGTGGGAGTGGGAAAAAATGAGGGAGGGGGTTGGGAAGGAATGAGATGCTCAGTTCTGACTGGAGCTCATGGAGCCAAACATGGTTCTCATTAATGCTGTCAGCCCAGAGAAAGAGACCAGCTTCCCCAGGGCAAGACCAGATTCTGTGGTAGTTTCAGGTGCCCCTGGGCCCCACCATTTTCCTGTCCCCAGAACCTCAGGGTCTTGTTCTCTCTTGGCTCTGGGGCTCTGCCAAGTACCACCGTTGAGGCCCACTGTTGGTGAATGAAAACTGGGGTAGCGGAGAGGCCTGTTCCCAGTCCTTGCCCGAACTTCAGGAAACCAGGAAGCCCCAGAAGGGTCCCAAGGTAGGGAGTGCTGTTGGTACTGATGTTTTCTGCTTCAATTTAAACCTTGCTTGCCCTGAGAATATTGGGCACTTAACAGGTTGTTTGTTCGTTTATGTGCTTTTGCACAGAGCCCTGCTACATCACTGAGGCCTGGCCTTAGACTTTCAATCTTCCTACCTCAGCCTCCTTGGAGTGCTAGAGCCACAGGTGTGTACCAATATGCCTAGTAGCCATGCACTTCACAGATTTCATTGTAGCCAGGTCTCACAACCACCCAGTGGCTTCAGCCACGTTATCATTACTGTTCTGCACATGAGGTCACTGAAGGGTGTGGTGATAGAGTGTTTATGATTTAATAAAGTCACTGAAGATCAGAAAGGCAAAGCAGCCAGCCACCAGCTCTTACCTTTACCTCAGACATAAATTGATGCTTCTAGAGTCTCCATGTCTCCACGAATCCTCAGAGTACAATGCCCTCCCTGTCTCAAAACTAAATCTCACATGAGACCCTTTGCTTTTTCCTTTTATACCTCCCTAGTGCTGGGATTAAAGGTGTGAGCTCTGTTACTCTTTTGTCGTTGTTTTGTTTTGCCTTTTGTTTTTTGAGACAAGGTTTCTCTGTAATTTTGGAGCCTGTCTTAGAACTCACTCTATAGACAAAGCTAGCCTTGAACTCACAGAGGCCAGCCTGTCCCTGCCTCCTGAGTGCTGGCATTAAAAGCATGTGCTACCACTGTCTGGCTCAGTTATTCTTTTAAACTGATTCACTCTTGTGTAGCCCAGGGTGGTCTTGAACTCAGAGAGATCCATGTGCCTCTGTCTCCAGAGTCCTGAAATTAAAGGTGTGTGCCACCACTGCTTGGCTCTAAGTGTCTGGCTTTTCATTCTCATCCCGAGGGGCTTTATTAAATCTTAAATGTACAGAGAAGTAGCTTGTCCCAGTCACAGTCAGTGAATGGCAGGCCATGCTCCAAGCCCGGGCAGTATGACACCAGATCTTGGGCTCTGCTCTGCACTGCTCCCAGTGTATGTGCACCAGAAAAAAGTTTTACAAATAATATGTACCTTATCTACATGCAATGTGTGCTATTATCTTCTACTTTTTCTCATATATTCAATTAAGAAGAAAAGAAACACAGGGCATATCCACCACACTGATTTTATGACACACTGATTAGGTTGCAATCTATGTCTGGAAATGCTGGCTTCAACAAAATATTTCCCAGAAGAGGAAATGCTATAATTATAAGGATGAACTGTAAATTCAGAATTTCTAATGTATCTAGCTGGGACTGCTAGCTCATACCTATAAGGCTGAGGCATCAAGATTATCATGAATTCGAGGTTTGAGGTCAGCTGGGTTTACAGAGTAAAACTTTATCTCAAGGAAAAAAAAAAAAAAAAAAAAAAACTCTGTCACATCCAATTGCTTGTTTTCAGTGGTGACCAAAAGGTGAGCTTCTGTCACTCAAACCAGGTATGTCAGGAGGCAATGCAGTGAGATGGCCCCCTGGGTAAACACTTCCAACTCACAGAGACCCACCTGCCTCTGCCTCCTGAGCGCTGAGATTTCCTACCCCCTCCCCACTCTGCCGAGAATGTTGGGGACCCACCCAAGTCTAAGTAACCGGTACACTACTGAAAAACATTTGCAGTCCCTGTAGTAGAATTTGTGACTGAGTATCTTGGAAGTGGAGGCAAGCCAGCTGGCTATTGGATTTGACACACACGGACTCATCCTTCTTCACTAAGAACTGACGAAGCCCTGCCACGGAGCCTAGCGTGGATGCTCATGGGGGACTGTGGAACAACTAGTGTAATGAAATCTAGGGACCACCAGATACCCCCTGCTCCTAAGATCAGGGGTCACTATCACAGCTTGCCTGTCACTCACAGGCTCCAGGTCTACTTTTGAAGCCATCACAAATTCACATTATGGACTAAAACAGTCTGCTGTGAGGCTGGGTGAGGGAAGGGCTCTTCCCCTGCTAAGTGGGAGCTGCCTCTGATTAATTCTGTGACCCTGGGCACACCACCTGGCTCCTCAGGGTCTGTTTTCTCAGCTCTCATCTATCCACCATGGTGGAAGTTTCCTAGTTTTTGTTTTTGTTTTTGGAAGGTAGGAGTGGACCCCAGAGGCTGGGGACAGGCTGTGAATATAACTCCCCATCACTGCAGAAGGTGATGTTCAAAGAGAAACTGGGTACCATGATATAAGCCTGTTATCCCAGACCCAGGCTGAGGCAGGAGGATCCTGAATTTGAGGATACCATGGGCACTGGGCTATGTAACAAGGCTCTGTATTGAACAAACAAAATAACACATGAAAAAGAAAAAAGGAAAACCACACAGCAGATGAAGGGCCTTGTGTTCAATCCCCAGCATTTAAAAAACAAAACAAAACCAAAAAGACAAACAAGCCAGGCGTTGGTGGCACACGCCTTTAATCTCAGCACTTGGGAGGCAGAAGCAGGCAGAGCTCTATGAGCTGGAGTCCAGCCTGGTCTACAGAGTGAGTTCCAGCACAGGTTCCAAAGCTACACAGAAAAACCCTGTCTCAAAAAACAAAGCAAAGCAAAGCAAAACAAACAAACAAAACCAGGATCAAAATAAGAAAATAACAAGAAGTATGAACATAACTGCCAGTCAGGAGTATAATAGGAAACATGCAAGCAGGTCTGGACACTGTCAGGCCACCCCCTGCATGTGGCAGGAAGGCCGAACACCTGTCATCCACTTCTCCTAAAGTCTGTGGCAATGCTGGGGCTGAGCTAACAGCCATTCTCTTTGTTACTTGGACACTCAGGACACAGACGACAAACAGATGATCCAGACACCTTTGTTTGCCCTCTGCAGGCACTTGAAATATGAGCATCGCCACAGTAAAATCCACACTGGAGGCTTTCCCTGAAAACACTGGCATTGATTGTCACAAGAAACAGGTTGGGGAGTGAACAGCTGCTACGCCCTTCAAAGAGACACACGTCTGTCTTCACCCCATACCTCCATCCCACTGCCTCACTGATAGCCTTTGACATTTCAGGCCCCAGCTGAAATACAAAATTCAAAGGTCACTAAGAATGAAGCTCACCCTCCACCCACCAGTGAGGTCATCTGCTCTCTAACCCCAGCCAGCTTGTTTATGGCCACCACCCATCCATTGTTTCCTGTGCACTCTCTGACTTCTGGATAGCCTCTTCTCTTGACCTGCCCTTTTACTGGGTGTTTTCATGTACCTGCCTGACAAGAGAGAAGCCTAATGCTTTCTTACTGATATTGTGGTCTGCCCAGCAGCCCTTGGACATCTCACTCCAGAGGCCAAATCTTTCCCCGGTTTGGCAGCAAGGGCAGCTTCCCAGTGTGTCGAGATCCTAAAACAAGCTTTCATGTCAGTATATCGTATAAATTCAAAGTCAGGATGTCTTTTTTTTTCTCTCTCCCTCTCTTTTCTTTTAGGATTGGAAACTTTACGATTATGAGGTGCACATGCTGGCATGGTTACATGCTTCGCGGTGCACAGCCTCTCTATATCAAGGGTATCCACGGGCCTCCTGCACTCCAGGTCCCACGCCAAGTGCTTTGTGTATTCTGCTGCTGCTTCCCATTAGGGCTGTTCAAGGTAAACATTTTCATCACTGGAGGAAACCACATCGTTTTTTGTGATGAGTTTTGTGATGAGAAGCTGAACCTGGCCTTGTCTTCTCCAAAGCCTGCTAGGCCCCTTCATTTAGAGGGAGTTCTAAGACAAAAAAAATGGCAACTGAGCACATGAAACAGATACTGAAGGACTGGATTGCTCTACAACGTCACCCCCCCACTCCACCCCCAACACACCACCACCAATATGTTTCCCAGTTAACTTCAAATACCATGAGGTGAATTTTACCTCACGTTGTCAAATCCGAGTTCCATTGCTTTTTTGATCCTGTGTGGAAACTCAGAATGTACAAAAGATATCCATAAATAGAATCACAAAAGGACAGGCCAGAAATGCTACATCCCTATAATTCAAGCACCTTGGCTCTTCGGGTGTGTTTCGTTGCATAATGTCTTCTGATCCAAAATGATGACAAAGTTTTATGGGTGGCCATGGCTGGCCCTGGATTCAGTGGTGCCCTCAAGGTCCACGGTCTGGCATACTTGGCCTAGGCCTAGCCTCAGGTTGCAAGTCCCTGAAGCAGGTCAGTCGGTCATCGAGCCTTGTAATCCCAACCTCTTGTGGCAAGAAAGGCTTCTTTTCAGTAACTAGACACCTGAGTTATGTGATGACTCACACAGTGGTGTGACACATGGGGCTGAAGTCAGAGCACCCACTAGGGAGGTGAAGTCCCTTTGGCCTCTGGGGAATGTGCTGAAGTGTACCCAACAGCAATAACTGCATATTGTCTTACTTAGGGGGCAAACCCAAACTGTGCCCTTCTCTCCAAAATAGCTTTGTAGCTTTCCTTGCATTAGAGCAGCCAAAACTGCATTTAAAGGGCAAGGAATAGTACTTTGACTTAAAGGGTGGATAAGTGACATTGGGAAACTGGGACACTGTTGGTGCGACTCCCAGGTCCCCTAGTAGCGGTTTATACAGGGCCTCAACTTTAGAAAGGTGGATGTCTTTAGGGGGCAGGCAGTCCGTGGGTTTGTGTGGTTAACAGAAGTATTTCAAGCCTGTTCATGGGTTCTCAAGCAAGCCAGCTCCTTAAACGTTTTCTGGCATTGAAACCTTTGGCTCTAGTCAAATTTGGGTCCTAGCGTGATTAGCAGTTTGGCTGCAATTCCAGCTTTGAGGACTCCTAGACCTTTTTAAAAGATGGCCGTTCCTTCGGAGACAAAGACTCAAACCAAAAGCCCGGGCGTGTAAACCTTCCCCTTTCCTTTCCCATTAGTGGCTATCAAGCCCAGGCAATTAGCTCAGCCAATCCCTGCCGGCAATCCCCAGCCCCAGGGCACCCACCAGGTTTGAAAATCACTTTGGCTTGTAGCCCCTGCTTCCTATGGTGTGGGCAGGAGTGAGACTTCTTCCTGGCCCAGGGCCTCTCCCAGGAGTGAGGGTTCGGGCAATCAGGGTTTCGGCTTGGGGGCGTGTCTGTGCCTGGAGGGGGTACCCTATTGGTGCGGTGGGACCTCAGCTTGGGAGTGGGGGGCCTAGGGCCTTGGCCGGACAGGGGAGCAGAGTGTTTCTTACTGTGGTCGTCTCGGAGCGCAGAGTCGATGAAGGAGGCAGCTGAGTGGAAGAAGATGCTGAGGTCGAAGGTGGGCACATCGTCAGCCTCGACGCCGTGGTAGTGGATGGCCATGTCGCGGTAGTAGTCCTGCCCGGTGTCCACATTCCAGCGGCCGTGTGCGGCATTCAGCACGTGCGTGAATCCCGCCTTCTGCAGCCCGTAGCGGTCCAGTGCTGTGGCCCTGAGGACAGGGAGAAGGGTTAGTCAATGCACACCATATGCTTCGGGTGGTGCTTTCTTCGAAGGACTCAGTGCAAAGCGATTGATTACAAGCAAGACCCAAGGCGTATTTCTTTCTGAGCCTCAGGCCAGGCTGCTGGGCACCTTTTGGTTTTTCACCTATGAGAAAGCAATTCCCAGGGAGCAGCACCGGCTAGGCATTTGCCCTATTGGTTTGTATCATTCACCTAATCCTGCAGGCCCTGCCAGTTCTCCCCAAAGGCAACTGAAATAATCTGTTCATTTGAGTCTGTTTCAGAGCCCCCTACCCCCCCATCCTTTAAAAGCGGCCTCTACTCCGAAGCCTTCAAACATTTATGGGTTTCGGGGGTCACAACTGGGAAAAAAAAAAAAAAAAAAAGAAACGGCTTCAAATCAGTGGTTCTGTGGGAGGATTTCGTTGGGATTGGATAAAATTCTTTAATTGATGCTGACAGGGTTGGAGGACACAACTTAGATGGGGACAGAATGCTTTGTTGAACCCTTTGCCTAGCTAGGCTTTCGATGTTTTGAAGACCTATTTCCTCCAGCTTCAGTCTTGATTATCAGCAGCAGAATTTCTAGGAACAAAAACAAGTCACTCTGAGGGAGTTAGCCTGTGAATAGATCTAGACAAAAAAAAAAAAAAAAAGAAAAAGAAAAAAGAAAAGAAAAAGCTAGAGTATTGGGGGGCTGGAGAGATGGCTCAGAGGTTAAGAGCACTGATCGCCCTTCCAGAGGTCCTGAGTTCAATCTTAGCAACATCTATAATGGAATCTGGTGCCCTCTTCTGGCCTCTGGCCAGCAGACACAGGCAGAACACTGTATATTATAAATAAATCTTAAAAAAAAAAAAAAAAGGCTAGAGTATCAGAGCAAACAATTATCCCTAGAGGAGTGTTGGGGGGGCATTTCAGGGGAGACTTTCTACAAGGGTAAACATTTGTTCCCTACAAGGGTCCTCAGTTAATGAGAAAGAGTAAAGTGAGGAAGGCCACATCAAGGAAATACCCCAAACTAAAGGATGGAGACTGAGGGTGATGGAGGAAACCTTCATGACTTCTGTATTCAATCACTTTATCCCCAAGTAATGACAGAGATTCTTTGGTGTTCTGGTGGTAAAGAAAAGAGCAGGCTGATCAAGCCAGGAAACTTCAATTTTAACAGGAAATAACAAATGAACAGCAGGAGCTGTGGAGACACTAAGGCCACAGGAGAGCATACAGCATGGTCATAGGACTACACTTGGAAGGGTACTTGGCCGAGACCTCTGTGAAGGAGGAGACAGACTGGAGCGAGTAAGAATAGAAAGGGATGAGTGGGCAGGGGGTGTCCTGAAGGACACAGAGAAAATGTGTTTGGATATTACTCTGGCCACAGATGGTTTAAGAAAGGGCATTGTTTAAAGGATCGGAATGGTTGCTATGTGGAGATGGATTGGAGAGAGATGAAAAGCAGTAGCAAGAAAGGCCTGCTGTTGTATAAGAGGAGGATACTTGCTATGCTGTGATGTCTCAGCAGACTGACTGGGAATGGGGAGAGAAGGAGGGGACCAGAGTATATGATGGAGGTAGAGGGAGAAGGAGAGGAAGATTTGGAGGGAATATAGGCTTTGGTCTTAGAAGTGTGTGGGTGTCAGGATCATATTGGGGATCAGAGAGAGCTTCAGCCAGTGTTTGAAGAGAGTGGTGGAGTTTGGCTTTAAGAAGACATGCCCTTCAATATCCCAGAGCCCAGCCTGCTGCTCAGAGAAGGGAGACAAGGCATCTGACATTAACACTACATATCCAAAGTGGCATTATGCTTCCTTGGAAGAAGATCCATGATGTTCTAAGTTGATCTGTTGCAGTAATAAATACCATTATCAAAAGCAACCTAGTGAGGAAAGGGTTAATTTGAGTTTACAGGTTACAACCCATCATCAAGGGAAGCCAGAGCTTAGACAGGAGTGTAAGGCAGGAGCTTAAGCAAAGACCATGGAGGAATCTCAGGCTCATCATCAGCTACCTTCCTTATATAGCCCATCTGCCTGGGGCTGGTTCCACCCACAGTGGGTTGTACCCCTCCCTGAATCAATTAACAATCAGGAAAATACCCCCACAGACATTACCACAGGCCAGGATAATGGAGGAAATGCCTCAATTGAGAGTCCTTCTTCCCAGATGTGTCAAGTTCACAGCCAAGATTAGCCATTATACATAGTAAGGCCACTGATAAAATGATGTGGACAGAAGTAAGGACCAACAGCCTAGGCCAGAAGGAGCCTCACATCAGAAATACATGCCAAGTCCTCTGCCAAGTGCCTCCACCCCTCCTTCGTGTCCTTGTTGTCAGGAGAGGGACAGTCAGTGTTTGGGGGAGATTTGTGCACAGCCCTTGGGCCTGTAGAGTGATTTTCCAAAGAGCCTATTAGAGCTCTGCTGTCTGTGGGTACATCTGGGTGTGATAGCTCATTTCTTTAACCCCAGCACTTGGGTGACTGAGATGGGGGGAGTGTTACAAGTTGCAGGCCAGCCTGGACAAGAGTGAGGCCCTGTCTGAAACAAAGAAAAGAATGGGGACTCGGTTTGGTGGCACATGCCTTGGATGCTAATTTGGGAGGAAGAAGCAGGTAAATCTTTGTGACTTTGAGGCCAGGCTGGTCTAAATAGTGAGTTTCAGATCAGCTAGGACTGCATAGTGAGGCCCTGTCTCAAAAATTGTGTGTGTGTGTGTGTGTTTTGGAGGGGGGGGATGCTTCGCTGACTGGCCCTTGGTGCTGGCATCCTGGACATAGAACAATTTCTGCTTTCATTGTTTTCCTTCTAAAGGCCTGTTTTTCATTTTCCTTCTTGTCCCAAAATATGTATACAACAAAGGTTACGCTTTTGGGACACAGATCTGCACTCAATTAAAGCCACTACTAACACAGGCTGGCTCACTGAGTAGCAATCAGCCTCACTTTGAGGTTGAGCTTGGCGGAAAAATTAAAATTAACTGTCCTTGACAGGAAGCTCTGGGCCCCCCAATCCCCTACCCCTCAGAAACACTGTTCGTTCTGGAATCAGCCACACAGACTCCACAGAATCCAATGGCAGTTTGAATAAATTGCCTTTTGTGCCTTGCTGCTTTGGGGGTCAAGGGTCAAGGGGAGGTGACACATAGAGTGATACCCACCTAGCTGACTTTGACTGTGCATGGGGAGAAAGGGTTCATGAGAACTTTAGGTCTATCATCTTAGCACCTAAAGTCCATCAGTTAGTTCCCAGGGCCCCATCCAATCAAGCTGGGAAGGAGGCATGGTGTCCTCATTCACAGCTCTGGGTGGAGGTGGGAGGGGGGTCTCTCAGCTGAGAGTCAGCAGCACCTACAGCAGATTGGGAAATCTACAAATAGAAGATAAGGTTTCCTAGATTGGACACCTTGTGTCCAGTCCCCAGCTGAGCCAGATGCCCAGCTCAGCAGTTACTGAAATTGGGATATGTTTTGTTTTGAGGGCCATATACATAATTGGCTCAGATATGGATAAGGAACTAAGAAATCCAGGGATGTTTTGAGATGACAAGAATAGAGGAAAAAGACCATGTGTGTCAGGCTGGAGAGATGGCTCAGCAGTTAAGAACACTTGCTGCTCTTCCAGAGGACCCCGGTTCAATTCTGGTGCCCACATGGCAGCTATCTGTAACTCCAGTCAGAGGATCCGACACTCTCATACAGACATACATACACACATGTATGTATATGCATAAAAAAGATCATAAAAAAGACCATACATGTCTCTCTTCTGGGCCTGCCTCTTTTCACAGGAAAAGATTTTAGGGAACCAACAGATTTAGGAATTCACTTCTAGAGTCTGGACGATGAGAGACTGAGGAAGTGTCTCAGTCAGTACAGAGCTTGCTGGAAAGTGAGGACTGAGCCTGATCCCAGCACCCAGGCCAAAGCTGGGCTCAGTGGTGTGCTTGCAATTCCAGCACTGGGGAGGCAGAGGCACATCCCTGGGATGTGCTAGTCTAGCTGAATTGAGAGACCCTGCCTCAAAGAATAAAGTGGAGAGGATAAAGGTCATTTGTTATCTGCCTATGGCCTATACACATGCACATAAGAGTGCTTTCACCCTCCCACATATGCACACAAACATATGACATACAAGTGCACACACATGAACATGCAGGCACACCAAATAATTCAGATGATAAAGGGGCTTTAATGTTTAGATTTTTTTAAAATCCTCATTCTAAGTAATTTGTTTAAAAACAAGACTAAATAAAACACATGTCATCTTCCAGAAGTAACATGCCCAGCAAGAATGTGGAAAATAAAACCCCACAAAAATTTGCCAGTCTTTCTCCCACTGAAGATAAAGATGTAAGAGCTCCCAGTTCTCTCTCTCTCTCTCTCTCTCTCTCTCTCTCTCTCTCTCTCTCTCTCTCTCTCTCTCTCTCTCTCTCTTTAAAGATTTATTTATTTTTATGTATGAGTTCCAGGACAGCAAGGTCTGTCCTCCCTCAAAATAAACAAACTAACTAAAAGGGATCAACATACCTAGCATGGTTTGATGTGTTGGGAGACACCTGTACATACCATTCAAACCCTTTGATATTGTCAGTGTACTGTGACTGTTACATGTCACCTCATGGGCTCAGTAGCTACCTGCATCCCACTATTACTTTGGCCAGGACTTTTTGGCACATCTGATTGTTACAAGAGACTTTACTTATGTATTCGTTTATTTGGTTTTTCTTTTGATCTGTTTTGTTTCTTGAGACAGGATTTCTATGTATATCTTTGTAGACCAGGCTGGCCTCAAACTCAGAGATCCACCTGCCTCTGCCTCCCATGTTCCCTACCACGATGATAATGGACTGTAAGCCATCCCCAACTAAATATTTTTCTTTATAAGAGTTGCCATGGATTGGTGTCTCTTGACAGCAATGTGTCTCCTTTTTGTTATCTTGCCTTAGGAATGGGGTGGGACATTCTGTCACACATGAGCCTGTTAGA